GCCCGGCCATTCTCCGCCGGAAGCTGCCGGCCTCGGCCCCGCCTATTGCGGGGTGAAGCGTTAAGGTCCGAAGGCTTCGCGCGAGGCCTGCTGTCCGGCGTTGGTGGGAAGGGGCCCGGTGGGCTTGAAGTGAAGACCTGGCCAGGACAATGGTCCCGCAAGTCCTAAGTTTTTTGTCAGGAAGTTGGTCCTTGGCTCATATTCCGTATTTGAAACCGAGGACACTTGGGAAGGGATGTACCGTCCGGTCACACAATCGGTTGGTGGCGGTCGCGACTAGAGAACTCATCATCTGAATGCGACCGAGACCGTGCCTTCGGCACAGCGACCTGAAAGCTTCGAGTTTCTTCGCAAAGCGTTTCGGGGAGGGCTGCTCTCATGAAACAGAATATGTAATAAGTAGGAGAAACTTGGAGAGAAAACAAGCCTAAACGTCTGGCACATTGTGTATTTGCAGTGAATAAAAGGACTTTATATTACCGATGGGGATTAACTGCCCCTGAATTATATACAACCTAATGGGAAACTGGAAACCTTTTGATATTGCGAAGGGTTAATTCCTTAGCATATAGCTACTCTTTTTTTTTTCTATACATTTTTTTTGTTTGAAGAAAATTATAAAGTCAGCAAGCAGTTACAGATGAAAGAACAAAACAGGTGGATTGGATAGTTAAGATGAGCAACAAAAATATCTGTTCAGAGTTAAAAATGGACAGAGTGGTTTATTTTGCAGCCAGAAGAGAACACAGGGTGGTGGATGGCCGACGGAACCGGAACCGGAGAACGCTCAGCAGCACGTGCTCTTCCAGCCTGTCACGCCTCCTCCGCTGCTGACATCTACATTTTCACCGTTGGGCTCTTCTACCGGGGTCTTTCGAAGGATATCTTCAGCTAATGTGAGAAAGGCCTTTTCAATGTTTATATTTGCTTTTGCACTCGTCTCAAAAAACCTAATACCATGCTCCCTTGCTATCGGTTCTCCTTCTCCCTTAGGTACAACTCTTTTATCGTCCATATCACACTTGTTTCCTAGTAACATTCTTTCCCCATCTTCATGGGGATGCTCATCTATGTTTCTAAGCCATTTGCCGATGTTTTCAAAACTTTGACCATTGGTGATGTCACATACTAGCCTAATACCCATTGCTCCTCCGCAGTAGGAGGTTGTGATGGTGTGAAATCGCTCCTGGCCTGCTATCTCCCATGTCTGTGGCTTGATCTTCTTTCCTTGTAATTCAACAGTTTTGATCTTAAAGTCGATTCCTATGGTGGAAATAAAGGTGGTATTGAAGGCATCGTCGGAAAAGCGGAAAAGGACGCAGGTCTTCCCCACGCTCGAGTCCCCGATCGGGAGCAGCTTGCAAAGCAGGTCGTACGTCGTCTTCGCCATTGGGAGGAGCGGCTCCGGCGCCCGCCACGGGCGGCCCCACGGGGATCGGTCCCTCTCACTGGGGCCAACTCCTCGCTCGGTGTCCTCAGGCCGGAGCACGGGGAAGCGTGGGGGAAAAGGAGACTCAAGAGGGCGCGGTCGACCTCCGGACGGCCTGGTGGAGGAAGCACCGACGGTGGCGGCGACCGCGGCTCCGCAGCCGGTTCCTGGGAGTCGGTCAGGACAACATGGCCTCCCCTCCCCCCTCAGGGCTGCTCGGCCGGGACGTTCCCACGGGCGAGCCAGCGAGCTCGGCCGTGGAGGTAGCGCCGAGGGCGTGAAGACAGACTCTCCCCCGAGCCGACACTCCGCGCTCGGGCACGGCGATGACAGCCCAGGAGGACCCCGAGCCGAGAGCTCAGCTACATAAGCCACCGGAAGCCGAGCCGCCCCGCCGAGCCACCTGTTCCCTGAGCCCTCTCACGCTGGCGGCGTGCGCGCTGCCTCGCATAGAGCTGCTCTTGAATGGAGAACAAGAACCCGAATCGAGATGCAGGTGCAGGAGCACTTCCAGACCACCTGGCCGTGTCCAGCCCCACCAGCCTGGTAACCTGAGCATCAGACTTCTGTTTCAGCAAAACGACACATTACTACCTACGTCATGGAGTTTGGGGATTGGTCCTGAGTAGCTGGAACCACAAATGTTCAATCTGTGGGGAAATGCATCTCCCTAAATTGTGGGAATGGCTGTGCATCTCTAAATCTGTGTGTGTGTGTTTTTCTGAATCCTTTTATCCCACTCCCTCACCCCCACCCCCAATTCTGCCATGGTAAAGTTCATGGCCCTACAACATGGAGTGGATGTGGTTAAGAATGTCACACATATAAAATTGGGGTAAAAGGAACCAATGTTACTATGTTCTGGTTGAAGAGCAAACACAGGTGAAGTTTTTAAAACCTCCTTAAGACGATTTTTGGCTTTCATTTTTATGCCAAAGGTCATACAGCAGATCTATAAAAGGAAAGGACTGCACTTCTCCATATGCAAGAGATAGGTGTTTTTCAGAATGACCTTCTGTGACTTAGATTAGAATTCTCTCCAAACCTTGCCTTTCTAAGCCCCAAATTCATTGAATCAAATATCTGATTGCTGTTTATGTAAGGTGGAGTGTACAAATGTGTGCAAATTAAACCAAGTCATAAGTAACTTGACCAAGCTGTGGCTTAGCTGGGAAAAAAAAAAAAGGGGGAGGGGGGTTTGGAGATACTACTACGTATGTGCTCTCAATGCGTATCAACTAGGAAATTTGAGAATAAAGGCATGGAGAATTTTCGTTTGTTCCCTCTATAAATTTCAAAAGATTTATATAAATTTCAAGAGATGAAATTTGGGGGGCAGGAGTATGAAGGAGTAGCATAATTAAAATGCACAAGTAATTAAAAATATAATCTTACTAGAACATCTTTATTTTCCAAATATCTTACCAGTCATTGATATTTCTTTCTTAAAATTTAAGAATTGGGGAGCCTCATCTATTGCTGTGTTCCAAGGTTCTATAAAGATTTCCCTTGCCTTTGGCTTATGACCTTAAGATATAAACAAGATGACTATAAATTTGCCTCCCTCTGGTCATTCTCAAACTTACAGGGCTAGATTTTTACTCCATATTTAGAAAATAGGAGGTAAAAAGAGCCATCATTTTGCATCTGCATGTCAATTTTATGTAACAAGAAAAATTGAGCTATCATTTTTAAATGTTGTGACACTGAAAATAGTTTAAGGGGCAGTTATAAATTGATCAAGAGACACTGGAGTCAGAGTGTTGAGAGTACTAAGAAGTAAGGAGAAAATGAAAGAGGGAGCAGGAGGGATGTTTCTGCCATTGCTAGCCACATGACCCTGGCCAACTCCACTCTAAAACCTGTTCTTGGTTAGTAATGTGCAGACAAAAATGCCTTCCCTACTGATAGCACAGGGAATTTAGAAGGATAAGATGACATAGGAGTACTACACAGATGATGCATACATTTATACCTCTAGCTTGAGGTTTTGACAGGTTTTGAAAGCATTGGCTGTAACCATCTTCCAGTAATTTGCCAAAATGACTAACACAAAGAGAAAGAGGAGAGGCACCCACTATATGTTCTCTAGGCCTTTTGGAAAACATGGAGTTGTTCCTTTGGCCACATGCATGCGAATCTACAAGGAAAGTGATGTAGTCATCAAGGGAATGGGCACTGTTCATAAAGGAATGCCCCATAAATGTTGCCATGGCAACACTGGAGAAGTCTACAATGTCACCCAGTATGCAGTGGGCATTGTTGTGAATAAACAAGGGCAAGATCCTTGCCAGGAGAATTAATGTATGTATGGAGCATATTAAGCACTCTAAGAGCCGAGATAGCTTCCTGAAACGTGCGAAGGAAAACGATTAGAAAAAGAAGGAAGCCAGAGAGAAAGGTACCTGGGTTTAATTGAAGCTTCAGCCTGCTCCACCCAGAGAAGCACACTTTGTGAGAATCAATGGAAAGAAACCTGAGCTGCTGGAATCCATTCCCTATGTATTCATGGCATGATAAGTGTAAAAAAACAATCAGAAAACCTCTGTACTGAGTCAAACAAACAAAAACATTGGAGACAGCTTTGAACATATTTAGCACAGGTATACTTATGTATCTAACTCCTAATTCTAACTAGTTGGAAGTATTTTTAAATTTCTTTGGATAGAGGTTTCACTGTTTCTTTAGTCAATTACTCTATACACATTTTGAATCAAGTGGTGGGAGTAGTCACATCACATCCCAGAAGAGGGCACCATTCCCAAGAAATGGAAGCTGCTTCTGATAAAGAAGGAACCTCCTAAGAAATCTAAGGTTTCAAATGGGAGGATTCGTGGTCATGGGGATGTAAAGCGCCTCACAGGGAATATAGTCAACAATATTGAAATAACTAGGTATGGTACCAGGTGGCTACTGGAACTATCAGGGGGAACACTTTGTAAAGTATATGATTAACCACTATGCTGTAAACCTTAAATGAATACAAAATAGCATTGAATTTAAACTGTAATTGAAAAATAAAATTAAAAAAGAAAATAGCACCCTGGCTGGGTGGCTCGGTTGGAATGTTGTCCTGTGCACTGAAAGGTCACCAGTTTGATTCCTGGTCAGGGTATATGCCCAGGTTGCAGGTTGGGTCCCCAGTCAGGGTGTGTAGAGAAGGCAACCAATCAATGTTTCACTCTTTTCTCTCTTCTCTCTTCTCTCTTCTCTCTTCTCTTTCTCTCTCTCTCTCTCTCTCTCTCTCTCTCTCTCTCTCTGTCCTAAAATCAATAAAAACAAACAAAAACCTTCTTGGCCAAAAGCATAATACCTTCCCCAGGCATATCTAGATTTTGATTGATGATACTTTCTATAATCTTTACCTAAATTGAATCTCTAATTGGAGGAACTCCAGACAACCTGGCAAAAACAGGGGACCTGTATAGTAGGCCATGTATTTACCTATCAGACAAGTTTGGTGAGTATATAGAATTATACACACATATATTGTTAACAACATTAGGTGCCTGCTGTATTGGGCACTTTCCATAGATTATCTTCAAATCTGACAACAATCTGTAGCATAGGTATCATTACTATCTTCCTTTTACAGATGAGAAAACTAAATCAGAGAAGTTTGGTAACTTTCTTCATCACATGGCTACCAAGAATTCCAATTGAGATTCAAACTTGTCTTTCTCCTAAGCTCATGTCATCATGCTGCCTCAAGAGACCAGTTTTCTCATTAGAGAATAGACTGCAATGGGCAAGGCAAATCAAGAAATAAAATTTCCACATACAAAAATTAATATTGAGGAAAATGCAAGTCACTAGAAAATAATCTCCCAAAGAACTATTTAATAACACATATACCCATCTTTAATATTTGTACTCATATGTTGTGTTTAATAGAAGGGAAGTTTATTGGTTTCATAATAGGCTCCATTTAATACATTTCAAATGTTATAATGCATCTACCACTAGTGGCAAATTTAAATGGCTTTCAGTGATTCCTAGATGTGATTAGATCATAAAAGACTTGGATTCATCACTCAAAGAAACTTGTCCAAGTCCAAAATCAAAGAACAGAGTTGTTGGTGCTTCTTTTTCCAAGGATTGGCAGGGACAGATGCAGAAATGGAGAACTGAAAGCAATACTCAGGAATCTTACATGAGCCCTCGCTGGTTTGGCTCAGGGGATAGAGTGTCGGCCTGTGGACTGAAGGGTCCCAGGTTTGATTCTAGTCAAGGGCACATGCTGGGTCGTGGGCTTGATCCCTAGTAGGAGGCTTGCAGGAGGCAGCCAATCAATGATTCTCTCTCATCATTGATGTTTCTCTCTCTCTCTCCCTTCCTCTCTGAAATCAATAAGAATATATATATTTTTTAAAGAAATTTTACATGAGTTCAGTATTTTGCAGGATCCACACTGAATCTTTTTTTAAAATTGAGATATATTTGACATATAACCCTCACTGAAGCGCAAAATCTTATTGTTGAAAGGAATCTTCAAAATCGTCTAGTTCAGCCATCCTGTTAAACTAAGTACTGGAAATACCTACGCAATGTTATCAGTCAAGGGATCACCAAGCCTCTACAAGGATGCCCTAAATAATGAGAAATTCATTCATTTACAAAGCTGCCTATTTCATCTATAGATAGTTTTGACTAATAGACGTTCTTCATATTGAGCTGAATCTCCCAACTTCCATTCACTGTTGCTAATTCCAAGCTCTTTATAAGAATCCCTAAAACAATGCCTCCTCACAAGGTTTTTCTACCCAGATTACCCTTCTTGGTACTTTGTCCAGGGTTTCAAATGTCATTGTGACCGCAGCTAATCTTGGATAGATTGGTTAGGGCCTGTTGAAAATCAATAGGACTGAGTGTTCCACCCACTGCACAACGAAGTAGCATATCTGATTTCCCCTCCTCTCCCCGGGGCCTGGAGGCAGCTCTCCACAGTGCTGAGCTTCATCTGGCCTTCACTGCTCCCAGGCCAGTGAGAGTTGGAAAGAGGCACTTTCCAATTATTCAGTTATCCTTGCGATCTAAGGCCTTGGCAACCTTT